TCTCCTTCTTTTTCTCCTTCTTTTTCTCCTTCTTTTTCTCCTTCTTTTTCTCCTTCTTTTTCTCCTTCCATTTCTCTTTCTTCTTCTTCTATTTCTTTTTCTTCTTCTATTTCTTTTTCTTCTTTTTCTCCTTCCTGGATTAGGCAGGACTGCCTATTCCGGAGACCATCTTCTACTCGGACAACCGATACTTCTTTGCCTGGCTGATTGGTATCCCCTCGCCAGTCGAGGAATTCGGTTTCTGCTCATTCGCTCCAGATGACTGCACCACTTCATTTTAGCGCCACATCGTGTTCTCAAGACTATCCAACAATCTGATGCCTCTATAATTCTCAGTTTTCTGTTATCGTTCTTAGATATTGGGAGTACTTTCAACATTAGCCAGTTTTGTTGTATACTCTGTTTCCAGTACATGTTTAACAAATGTAACAAATCACCTGTAGACGGATTCAGCCATATTGTCAACGCTCAGCATTTATTTTATCAAATCCTCTTGCTTTCCTATTTTTTAAAGCTTTAATGTCTCCTGTTACTTCCTCCATTGAGATGTTATCCTAACCATGTGTACTAATAAGCGATAGTATGTCTTCTGGAGATTCCTCATACGACACGTTTTTGTAGTGATCTCGACCATACTTTATCGCTAATGATATCTAACTTCACCGGATCTCCGTGGTCGCTGCACAATGTTTTCAGGGCTTCGTTTGCCAAGGTTTGTCGGCCTTGAAGGTCGTCTTCAATATTTGAGTTAAATCTATCCTAAGTCTCCTGTTGTCTTTTCCTCACTAACCTCTGTGCAAAATTTCGTCTTTGCTGATAGAGCTCTTTATTTTCTTCTGTGAGATTATTAACATATCTTCTATATGAATACTTTTTTACTTTAATGGTATTCTCTATTTAATATGTCCATATGTTAAGGCCTTTCTTCATACATTCTTCTTTTTGCTAAAGACTTCATAAGATATTTTACGTATAGCTTCTTGCATGTTATTCCATTCCTCTTGTATTGTTTCTTCATTCTCTCTTTGCATGAGCTCTTAGATTTAATTGTTTCTGATATAGGTACTGAATATCTCGATCAAGTAATAAATGAACTTTATAAACTTTTCCAGATTATTAACACTTTTTTCTATGAGAAACCAGCGTCTTTGTATACATGTTAACTTTACAAATTACATGAATACGGTCAAAACCTCTTTATACGAATAGTGGTAAACTCTAACATTTGTAATTTTGCCAGCCAAATACTCATTTGTTATAATATAATCAATAATTGATCTGAATAACCTTAATGACATAGAAAACTTGTGGTAATTTTCTTTCTTTCTGGTAACAGTATTTTTAATTGAAGCTGACAAAATATTTAATAAAATTGTCTTCCAAAATATCAGTGAATTTCAGCACACTGAAAGGAGTCAAGCAAAGTCGCTCTATGAGGATACCTCTGCCGTGTTTCACTGTGAGAATTTCATTCTTGAGTTCTGTTGGTATTTTACACCTTACATACTATTTTTGGCCACCCGAGAAGCGAACTCTCCCACAAAAAACTTAACGAGAATTCGTGAGCTTTGCTGAGATATGCTTTAGCGAACTAATCGATTTCCTCAGGAATATGAACCGACCTGACTTGCGATTCTGGTTCACAAACCGAAACTGAACCACAAAAAAATCTGTCGACGCTGCTACCTCGGCCTAAATGAGTTTCGGACCTGCACTATGCACTAGTTCTCTTCGGTCAAAGCGTTTTGGAGAGAAATGCTGTTTAGTGCAAGTTTCAGTTTGGTCCGAAATCGACGAAACTGGGCCACATCGCTGGTTGGAAGGTTCTACATTAGAACACTAGAATTTTTAAAAAAAGATTGAGATGGAATCGTGTTTTTAACAACAATACATATGCCTGAAAAATATGTTTCTTAAATGACCAGAAAGATGTGCAATAAAATATTTAGACGTATTTACTAGGGGAATTTTCGATTGGCATTTTTCGGTCAAATTCGTTATATATCACATGTTAGAACCAAAGATTTTTGTGCATTTATATATCTAGTTCTCTGAGTTGAATGTAATTAGTTACAGACTTTTAGCATAAGTTAAATATTTATTTATAAAAAAAGTAGAAACATGAAATAACATAGTTTTTGTGACTCACTCTTACATTTTTATTAAACATCTATTTAAATATTTCTTTAACAATAATGTGTTTATGTTTTCCAGATTGTCCAATCAACAAACCGTCACTAGAGTCCTGAAGATTTCGTAACTCTCGAGATGACGTAAAAACTAAATGATGGCAATTTAATCATCAAAGGGTGAAGTTAACCAAGCATTCCCTTGTCTTCTTTCATAAATCTGAAAATGGACCAACTCACGTAAGTGTTATTAAGTTTAATCTCTTAAAACCAACCATCGGGACATCGGCTTAATACGCAATGGAAGGTAGAGGCGGCATGTTCATGGGCAATGACGATGTCGAGGGCTTTCCTCACCGTAGGCGACGGATCAAAGGCGGGTTCGCTTCATTAGGGAAGCTTAGAGGCCAAGAACAGGACCGAGTGCCGCGCGTCCTAGTCAAATGTTTCCGCCGCAACACCAAGCCGTTCCATCTTTACACGGTATTTAATAACTTCGGCACCATCACCTACTTAGCTGTCAAGAAGCAACAGGCTGTCGTCGAATTCAGCAACTGGGCAGCCGTTGACGACATTCTGAAATGCAAACTGCTGAAGGTGCAGAGATCACGAGTCCACTGCGAATCTTTGCGTAAGTTCATCCACCTCGAGCCGAACCAGTTCCAGGCGAATCTACACAACGAGCTGACGCAGCTCGACACCGAAGACTCGTTCAAGGAGTACGTGACCGCTTTGTGCAAGGAGGCTATGGATATGAGCGCCGAAGACTGCGAGGCCGTGTGCCGCCGACTGGAGGAGATCACGCGGCCCGTCCACCCTCACTGCAAAGCGTTTCCCTTCGGCTCCCGCCTGGCCAACCTCGGTTTCCCCGGCTGCGACCTCGACCTGTTTCTGGACTGCGGGAACATGTTCAACGGCGAGTACGGCCAGACGCCCATCCAGCAGCGCATCTTGGCGGAGGCGGTGCTGAAACGGCTGCTGCAGAGCGAGGACTTCGCGCGCATCCACTCCGTGCTGCACGCCCGCGTGCCCGTGCTCAAGTTCTTGCACGTGCCCACGGGCACGCGCGGCGACGTGGCTTTCCGCAACGGGCTGGGCGTCCAGAACTCCCGGCTGCTGTGCTTCCTGCAGACGCTGGACGACCGCGTGAGGCCGCTGCTGCTCTTCTTGAAGAGGTGGGCGCGTCTGCAGAGCCTGAGCCTGCTCACTGAGAATTACCGCCTCACCAGCTACGCGCTGGCCACGCTGGTCGTCTTCTTCCTGCAGCAGCTGCCCGAGCCCGTCCTGCCCCCGATCCGCGACTTGATGGATCTGCACGCCGGCTACCAGCGGGTGATCGCCGGCTGGCCCTGCAGCTTCACTCGCGACCCGGGGGCGGTGCCCAAGACCCGCAACACCATGTCGGTCATGGATTTGGCCCTGGGATTTTTGCAGTTCTACCAGTTCTACGAATACCGTTGGTTTATTATCTGCCCGTATTTGGGGCGATCCATCGGCAGGAAGGAGCTGGATAACATTGTCCATCCGGAAGGAGAAGGAGATGATCTTGCTTTGGAATTTTCAGTCTACGTCGACAACGTTAGGAACGGGAATAGTGAAATATTTCCGTCTCACACTCCAGTTTGTATTCAAGATCCGTTTGAACATTCTCAGAATGTTTCACGTAATATCAGAAATGAAGGGTTGATGAATTTCATATCATCTTGTGGGTTGATGTACGAAAAACTGAAAACTCTGTTAACTGCATAATCAAATTCTTTGAGTAATGCAGTAGTATGAAGAGAAAGTGTACAGTACTGTCAATATTTAATCTATGTGGAGCATTTTTCAGTTACCTTTTTTTGATGTTTTATTTGGCCTACAAATAAGTATTCATTATTTGAATTTATATTACGAAAATGTACTTGTAAATGTGTGCATGTTAATGTGCTTTAATTCAGATCTTGCTATTATGCAATGGCAAGAAGTTGAAATTAAACATTTATTTACTATGAGTTTATAGTTTTCTATATCTGAATTTTGTTTCTATCAATTGGCAGATATTGGCAGTAGCGGCACTAATGTACAAAGTTATTGTGTCTTGGATTGAACGTATAATATTTCATGTATACAAATTCAAATTGCTATGTTTAAAAATAATTTGAATGCGTATTATAAAAACAAAAAACATGCATATGTAAAATAAGAGATTTGTGTTTGGTGTCTCTGATCGTAAAGAGTTAGAACAGGGTAATTTATAAATAATATGTGAATATTTAAAGAAACTGTCAAAATGTGTACAAAAATGCGTTGTGCACTTGTGTATGTTCTTGTATATCTCATACATTTCTTCTGTTACAACAGAGATGTCAAACTCAAATTAACATCTTTTGCAATAAAGTAAAACTGGACCGGGACCGGTCGTAATGTATTTTACACTATTGTCAATATTTTATGTTCAATTCGCCAATTTTATTTGTTTTAAAACTACCTTGCATTAATAACGAAATTTAAAAAAACCAGTGGTTACGACAGTTCAGAAAAATCACAAATAAGATAAATGTTTTTAATACCCAATCAGAAAGAGAATATGTAAGGTAATTATTAAAATTCCTAAATTGTATATTTTATTATATTTTTATAAGCTTTGTTGATACACTTAAGATATTATAATTCGTGTAATAACATTTCGGTAATACTAATTTCGCATACTCGTGTCAAATATTTGTTATACTTGCCCTCACTTACTTGTGAAGTTTTAAAATAGTGAAAGGTTCTTTTGTCATTTACAATGGTGCTAAGTAACTGTAAATCGCTGTTGACTGTTTAGATTATCATTTCTGACTGCATTCGGCAAGCAGATTGAGAGTTTGACATGCCTGTTGTACTCGTGAATGCATAGGACCAGAACCGGATTTTTTTATTGGAGGCCCAAGACCACTCAAAAGATAATTGAAACTTTGTAATTGTCAAGTTTATTATTAACACTTAAGTATCATTGGAAATTAATTTTATGAATATCATGCACAATAGTACATGATTATGAATGCAGAACGCGAATTTAATCTGTAACTCTTTAAAATACATCATGTTTTTCAGATCGATATAAATTCCAGATTATTTGCCAAGTTGGCTTAATGGAACATCTGGTTTTAATGTATTTTTTAGGATTTTGATAAGATATGCAAAAATGTGCATTGACGTAAAGATTTTATGTTCCTAAATTTGCTCAAATAATTTGATAGTTAAAACTGAATTTAAGAGTAGAAAAGTTACAAACAACACGCTCACTAATTTTTAAACGCTATTTTGATAAATAATGGTTTTCCTCGCTATAGATACCAGTGTTCATTTAAAACACAATACCTTGGCGACTACATCAGACATATTTTTTTACATTCAAATGGCGACATGACATTCCAGTATACAATTTATCACTTTAAAGTGAATGGGAATTTATAAAAAATATTGAAACAAAATTTTGTTACGTTAGGTACATTGAGTTACATGAAAATAATGAAAAATTAATTTTTTATACGAATTACCTGCACATGGTGAATTATCATACTATTCATTCACGTTAATAACTTGTAGTATCTTATGTGTACGTAATATATGTGTACAACAAAATGTGTGCTTTATTGTAGTCTCAGTATACCAGGGGAATTACGTGCTGCGATTTTACTTATCTCACTGAATTTTTGGAACTAAGAAGAAAAGCCTTGCTTTGTTGTTTTGTGGCTACGAGCAAGTGGCAATGGTCAAAACATGAAGATACCTCGTAATCGAATTTTGGTATTGACAAAAATTATACTCATAGTGCCAAAGAAATTCTGAGTTGGAGATGTTTTTCATGCCTGACAAAATTGACGCGGTATACTGAAACCAAATGCAGAGTTGTTGAAAGCGGATGGTACGTCTCTTTATTCACGCCGGTGGCAACTTATTATATTGTTTTAATATTTTGAGCGTATTCTTAATTTAACTTCAATGCAGGCGATCACCTGTGGATGATTCTTTAAATAAATCAACGTTGATTTAATACCTTTAATATCTGCTCGATGCAACTATGCACATTCAATCACATCTAATAACATTTCCTCTTTGCAAGTTCAAAAACACTTGCTTTTGATACGATGATATATGCAATTATTCTTTGCATTCATAATTAAACGGTCTCTGCTGAGACAGAATGTTGTGAAAAACACATGTTGAAGACGGAGGAATTCTCCTAAGTCAAAAAGAGGAATTACGGAGCATCTCCAGATCTATGGCAGTATTGGAAGCAGAACATCTAGAAATATGTTATGAATGCATCAAGTGTGTGATAAGGGCAATAATAATAGCAGCAAATTTTCAGTGAGATAAACCGGGAGACAGTGATTCGGAGGAAATAACTTAAATATTCCTTGAGCAAAGGGGAATCAATTATTCGCAAGCTGAAGATTCTCCTGGTATATACTAAGTTGTTTTTATTATTTGTCTTTGGATGCCGGAGGTATAGTAGTAGTTTTAGTCGGAGTAGTTTGGTATTGTTATCAAAGGTCTTTTACCAAGTGCCCGAACGAAAGAAGTGATAAAATATATAGTTTTGTCTATTATTTTTCCACTTTGGTTCGGGTATGTGGTTAGTGTAAATGTATGATTATTCAATGTTCTAGTAAAAATTGATGTCTACGTGTTTATTTACATGTGTGACTTTAAGGCACTATTTCTGGTCAGTTCACAGTAATGAGGGTATGAATAAAACTTTAAACAAAATCTATATAAGATAGAAATGAGGAAGCAAGTAGAAGGTACCTGTATATTAAATACTCATAATTGATGTATTTTTTTCTTATTGAGCAATGTAAGTTGTAGACAAACACAAGATAATGGACGAATGAAATGTAGGACTGAAAAACTCGCGTTTTCAAACTGATTTAATTCGATTGGGAGTTACTCTAGGGCTGATGTGATGTCATTCTAAAGTTTGATTTCGCCCATGACTGCAGTAGATTATTTTAAAATGTGAATATACTACTTGTAGATATGCCTAGTAACACCGAACGATAGTTAATTTTAATTTAAAAAAAATCGTGACGTGGTGATGAGTGTATGTTAACTCGGTGTATCACATTGATCTCATGTCAAGTAACAAATTATTTAAATTTGTTTGTCTTCAACTGATTATATATTCTTACGAGGCCACAAATGACTGAAATTTTCAGAAAGACAACGCACCAAGGAACGCCTTGCTATTTATTGAGAATTGAAGGGCTCCGTAGAACAATGGGCAATCTCACATACACATTATTCTGAGATAATGATTATTTTTATTTGAACTTCTCTCTTACATCTCAGTACATTTTAAACCTCTAAATACAGTATCTACAGTACCTACCTACACAAGTACATACAGAATAAAAATAACACATTACATACGAAAAAAATAACCGAAGTTTTGTGTAAAGCTAATAACCCAATTTCACAAAAAATGTGGGATAGGCTCTTGTTCTACTTGGCCCTTCAATTTATTATATAATTCAATATGCTTTTTTTTTCTTCAAAATAATGAACTTGCACTTCTGACATTTCCCTTGAGTGGTTTGATTGGTAGGCACTGCACAGGTCATGCGCACTGGTTATGCACAGGTCAGATTGATACGCAGTGCTTTCACGTGCCGATCATCATTGCACGAACAGTATCCTATCATTCAGAGGCAAATGTCACGTCTAACGTCGTTCTTTACATGTCCTAGAGGATTGCAACAATTATTCTGAGACACGCTGCATTCAACAATAGAATTTTTCCAATAAATAGTAAGTACTGGAACCTTCGGAGCTTATCATCTTGAGACGTGCAGTTTTTAATTAGTTTAGCAACCTAAGTGCATTAAACTAGTTTCTACTTATAACAGCATTTTACTGCAATGTCATTGGGATCTTAAAACTTTTTGATGATAATGACAATAGTCTTGATAATGACAATAGTCTTTTGTCAGAGCAAGAGTTCTGTCGGAACTTTATTTTTCGATGTTATCAGAATACCTCCCATCGCCCTTTAATGTGTCAACTGAAGTGCTCATTATTATTACAACCTTTACACAGATAAATTTGTTCTGTTGACCGAGTGAATTTCGTTATGATGGTTTTGAAGGAACGAATTGTTTTCTGAAGTGAATTAGCGGGAAACCATTTTTATGGAAATTATAGTTTCAACTACTTCACGAGGAAGACTGGAAAGAAGGTCTATTTTGTATTGCGGTGTTAAATAAAGAACGAAATATTTTGTGTAGATTCAGAAGGCAGATGTAGTATGAACTATTTTATATTTCTGTATAAAATAGAAGGAATGATAACAGAGGAGTAACGAGTGCATAATTTTATAAAATATGTATTAAATTGCTCACTATTTTACTAAGTTTTTGTTTTTATATTTTGGACTACATATTATGCAGAAGGTGCCATTAAATGATAAAATATTATATGTAGAGAACACAGAATATATTCTGAACTCAGAAACTATTTTGCAATAGATATAGATTAATTAAATCAATAAGTGTATTGATGTTGCAACCATTATGTGGAATATATGATTAAATGGTAAACTATTTTATATGTTATATTTGTGTGGATAAGACTGTGAACAATACTGAGAAGTATTCCGTCTCTAGTGGCCTAAGAGAGGGGGCTGATTTCTCTCTTACTGTGCCCTTGAGGCCTTATAGCCCGAAGAGAAGATATTCTAGCGGCTGTGATGCAGCCAAATACAATTCTTCAGCAGCAAATCACTCCAAGATTCTGCCACGAACGCAGTGTATACGGAGTTTTCTCTGAATCCAGCTCTGATGGTGCAGTTCTCCAAGTTTTCGGTTGAAGTAGAGATGTAGTTGATGGTGAGAAAAGATGTGCGGCAAGCTCGTGTTCTCCATATGTGGTCCATCGGTGGTTCATCGGTGGTTTCTCGGTTCATCGGTGGTAAGTAGTGTATTCATTTACCCCAAACACTAAATTCATATTAATTAGTTTTAGTATTTATTCGTGAGCACAAGGTATACTCCTTTTTATTCTGTCTTTAAGATCCTCACACGATAGAGAGTTTAAGACCATAGTTATATCTGGACATTTTCTACCATCAGGGGTCTCTCTGATTAAATTTGACGTATTAAATTCATCACGTTTGTATTGACATGTCTCTTCAAAATTGTCTCCGTGTTTGCTGGGATACTAAGCGACATATTTTAACGTGTTGAGTATGTTCCTGCCCGAACATACTCAACACGTTTAAAAGAGTTATGCACGTTAGGGTGTGGTTATATTAACTTCCGTAGAGATGGTGCAGGGTCCATGAGAGTTCCTTTCAGTTCCGACGACGATGCCAGCCAGGAAACCGCGGTCATGGTGTAATGGTGCGCCACTTTCGTGGATCATTGCGTGGAAGCAGAATAGGGAAAATAGGGAGTAGTGCGATTGGTATATCGGAAGCTCGAAGTAGCGTTCAGCCATTTCTAATAATTAATAATGAGTTCAACTTTTAATACAAAGTACTACATTTAACTGTATATACATTCATTATGTAGGACGTAAATAAACATATTTTAGTTTCCCGGTTCGTCCATTCCCGAGCATAGAAAGTTTCAGAAAAAAGTATCGAATAAAATAGTTGTTTGAATTTTTGTTTCATTGCAAAATTATATTTAATTATCGTCAATCTCAGAAATCAAGTCGTAACTATCACGTCAGAGACAGAAAGTGTAGTAATATACAGCGTTTCACCAATGTACTCGTATGTGTATGAAATCAATCAAAAACACATGTTTTTATGATTTATGCAAAATATCCTAGAAGGACCTGGCTAAGCGTTATGACTAGGGGCGGATTTTAATGAAATGTCATTATTTCTTTTCACTTTAGAAAAATGCTGTTTATTATAGAAATTCATTTTATGTTATGACAAAAAATGGCCGGTTTTTATGCGTAATTTTTTTGCTTTTTTCGACTATTTCGGCTAATAAGTCATTTCATACTTTTCCCGTCCGTTTTAGTGCATTTTCGCTGATATTAGCGATTTTAATATTATTTTAATGGTACTTGCTTCAAATAATGTTTATTAGATGCAACACAAATTCCTGAGTACCTATACCTGGAAGCCTATTCGATTTCTTTGCTCAAAAGTTGCATTGTGAGTATGTAATCTAAGGTTCCTGTGACTTCTCTTGTTTTTTTGGCATTTTGTGCTAGTTTCACAGCCTTCTACTCCGTGTTTGAGTTATTTGTCTTTTGTTTCTAAGTGCATTGCCTTCTTTTCACGATAATTGTCACTTGTTTTTTGAGTTCTCTGCTCCGTGATTCAAAACTATTCTCTTTGATACTGAATCTTTTCCCCCATAGTTGTGAGTAGTTAGCCTCTTTGATACCTGGTCTTTTCGAATATCATTTTCTCCGTGTTTCTGATTCTGAGTATTTTGCCATGTTTCTATGCCTTTGGTCCCATGTTTCTGATACTTTTGACATGTGTTTTTGCGTCTTTCGATCCCTGTTGCTTACTCTCTTTGGCACCATGTGTCTGAGTATTTGACCCCATTTCCTGAATCTCTTTTGCTCGTATTTACCAGTCTCTTTTGTTCCTTTTTTATGAGTCTATCGCTCTTTGTTTCTGAGTTGCTTAAACCGCCTTTGTATTTGAGTCTTTTGACCCGTATTTCTAATTATGTTGCCCAATTTTTCTGATCTTCTCCCCTGTATCTTAATATATTGCCTCTTGTTACCGAGTCTTTTTCCGTGTGTTTTTGATTCACATGTCCCATGTTTCTGAGTCTGGATCTTTTTTCTTTCTCTCTCTTTTGTTTCCAAATGGCCCCATTTATCTGAGTGTCGCTGGTTCCTTTTAACTGAGTATATTTGGTTTGCTGTTTTCCGCGAGTCTTTGAACTTCTTTTCCAAGTCTTTTTAGTTCCTCATTCCTGAATCTTATTAGTCTGATGAATAGCAGCTTCACAGGGCAGATATATCTCAGCATCATAGCTGAGTACTTTTTGTCCAGTTTTCTTAACCTCTGTTCCGTGTTTGTGAGTTTTTTTGCCCTTCTTTCCTTTCTCCAAACTGGCCATGCTTCTGAGTGTGTTTTCCTCCAATAGTTCTTTGTCTTTTGCTCTACGTTCTTCAGGCCCATAACTCGGAGCCTCTTTGACGTCATGGTTCTGAGTATTTTTGTTAATCATATTTCTAAATATCGATCTCCCTATGCTTCAGATTCTCCTTGCCTCCGTGTGTTTTGAGTCTTTTTCCATGTATCTAAGATTTCCCCACCATTTGTCTAAGTCTCTCTTTTGCCCTTTGTTGTCAAGTTTTTTACTCCATGTTTCTCAGTCTTTTGCCCTATGTTTCTCAATATTTTTCCCGTGTTTCAGGGTCTTTTGCTCATTGTTTTGCTCTTTTCCATGCCCCATTCACCATATTCCAGAGATTTTTGTGCCATGTTAGACAGCTTTCCCCCATGTTGCAGAGAATTTTGACCCACATTGCTCATTTTTCTAAGCTTTTACCGTACGTTTCTCACTTTGGCAAGTCTGTCGCTCCCTGTTTCTGAGTGTTTCACCTCCTATGATCAGGTATTTTTCTCAGGTTCTGAGCCATTTGTACTATTTTTATACTCAGTTTCGAAATGTTTCTGTATCTTTTTTGATACACGTTTCTAACTATCATTTGTCAGCTCTTTGGCTCAGCATATTTAGTCCCTTGTTTGGGAGTGTTTAGTTCCGTGTTTGGGACTGTGTATTCCCCAGTTTGGAACGATTTAGTCCCATGATTGGGACTGTGCAGTCGCATGATTGGGACTGTGCAGTCCCGCGTTTGGGATTGTGTAATCCCGGGTTTGATACTGTTTAAACCGAAGTTTTGGGAATGTTTAATCCCGAATTTGGAACTGTTTAATCTTGACAGTTTAATCCCGTGTTTTGAACTTTAATCTTCTCTTTGGGACTGTTTATTCCTCTCTTTGGGACTGTTTAATCATCTCTTTGGGATTGTTTACTGTCTACGTTTAGTTTTATTTTTTGAACTGTTCAGTGTCGTGTTTTGGGCTGTTTTGAGTCGTGCTTGGGACTGTTTAGAGTCGTGTTTTGGATTCTTCTGCGTCATGTTTGCGACGGTCGAGGGTCATGTTTGGGACGGTCGAGGGTCATGTTTGAGACGGTCGAGGGTCATGTTTGAGACGGTCGAGGGTCATGTTTGAGACGGTCAAGTGACATATTTGGGTCTGATCAGTGTCTAGTTTCGGACTGTTCATTGTTATGTTTGGGGCAGTTTAGTCTCATTGTTTTCACTGTTTAGTAGTAACATTAAGATTCTTTAGTCCCATATTTGTGAATGTTTAGTCTCGGGTTTGCGACAAACCGCGAGAATAAATACTCCCTCGTTTGGTACAATTTAATCCCACTCTCCATATTACGGAGAGTTTCAACCCGTGTATCAGAGAGTTTCGTCCCATGTATCGGAGTGTTTCGTCCCGTATTTCAGAGTGTTTCGTCCCGTATTTCAGTGTTTCGTCCCGTATTTCAGAGTGTTTCGTCCCGTATTTCAGAGTGTTTCGTCCCGTATTTCAGAG